GGCCGCAACGCGAGAAATCGGCCAATGACAATCGATCGTTCTTCTCGCACTTGACTGCGATCGGTCGATTTCTCGCGTCCGCTTTCGCGTCCGTTGTAGAATAAGCCCAGCTGAAAGCCGCGTGCGTCCTCCCCGCCGCGCCGAGCCGAGAGACCGAGAGTCGCGGATAACAGCGCTTTCGCCTCGAAAGCGCCAATTCGAAAGTAAAAGCCCGACTCCGCCGTCGTCGCGCCGGTCCCGCGGCGCCGGTCTCAGACTCCGCGCCGACGCGATTCGGATATTCTTGGCGCGTAGCGGGTTAACGATCCTTAAGAAGATTAACGAATCGAAGGCGTAATATCGTACGGGCGTACTCGCGCGCGGCGGCGGCGGCGGCGGCGGCGGCAGCGACGCATACCGAGATATGGCGTCACATCCCGGGACTCTCTTCTCGCTCGCGCGACGCAGACGGAACGAGTCGCGCGTCACGAGAGCGTGCCGGGTGCGCTTGCGCTTGCGCGCACGCTAAATCGCACGGCGATCGTCCCTGCGCGCGCGCGAGCGCCTGACGACGTCGACGGATCCGAGTCACAGAATCCGAGCGTGATCTAATTTCGTCAGGTGATACCATACGTCGCCCCTAACGACGTCGAAAACGAACTGGCCGATATCGGCAATTTGAACGCGCCGTATATTCGCCGGCGTCACCTCCAGAGGCGTCGGGGTCTTCCCCTGCCCTCCCCCTCTCCCTCCACCCCCTTCCCCCAGGTCGAATCCCGTGGCAACATAAAAAGGCTTTACGTCCCGGCGAACGCGACATCCCGGGCGACGTCGGGTAAAGATACGCGAGCTATTAAAAAGAGAGAAGAGTCGTGAAACACGTCGGCGCGGCCGCGCCGACGGGGACGCCGATGCGCGCGTGTGTCGTTAATCAGAAAATTTAATTTTCGTGACCCCGTTCCTAAAGTGGACGATCGAGTGGCTTGCCCCATTTACGCGCTGCGCATGAGCGCGATCCTCCCTCCCTCTCTCCCTTTCTCCTCTCTCTCTTTCTCTCGCTCTCTCCCCTCTCTCCCTCTGCGTCGACGGGATAGATGACGGAAGGGAGGGAGGGAGGGAAAAGCTTCACCTCGTCACGCGTTGCATCCCAATTCGAGCGCGCGCTGGGTAGAACGCCGGCTCTCCTCGTCACCGGAGAATCCGACCGCCGCCACCTTTAACCCTGTTTCGCCTCGCGCCCGCCCAGCTCCGCTGGAAAAAGTCTCGCTTCCCGCGGCGGAGAAAATTCAGGGGGTGGGGTGGGGTGGGGAAGGGAGGGACGACCGCGACCGCGACCGCGCGGAGCACATTCTGAAATATTTACATTCTGGAGAGCTCGCGCTCGTCCAGTCTGAAAAATGACCGATGGGCGGAAAATGACTGACGATTCGTAAACGACGTAAATTGTGGTTTAATCGCCGCCTCGAGGGGGCCCCTTTCCTTAAGCCTGAATCGTTTTTCCCCCGGTTTTTCCTCACAATCCTGACCACCCCAAGTTGATCGATAATACGCACGAATTTTTGGGCTGCAATACGAGTGGCCCGTCTAATTTTGTCTCCCTCCCCCTTTTTTTAAAACAAAGGCATAGATTTAGTTGTTCAGATTTGCAACGACCGCTTATCTGTTTCTTCTTGTAATTTTTACTCAAGTCGGTGAGATTGAGGCAGGTATTCATAGTCAAATTTATATTCAAGGCCGTCTCAAGATCATCTTTAGATACTCCATAGCCAATGAAATGTTCCATACAGTATCTTTAGACAAATTCGAGACGGTCTTGAATATAAGATCTGACTACACAGAGAAAAAGGTTCCTTGGGATTTAGTATTCCTATTTGTTTGATTGAAATTCGTTCCATTGAAACAACATATGCTTGTACGAAACATTATTCGTTTGAATAAAAATTTTGTAGTTTCGCTCAAACAATCTCTATTATTTGATGGCAAAGACTATTATTTGAAATAATATCTTTCAATGAAATAATTATATTATTTGGCCAGGCGTCTATGAAGTTCGGTGCTGCCACTAGATGGCCGCCGAACTCGTAAGTAAAATTACGCCGGCCAGACGTACAATATAAGCGACCGCATCATCAGACGCAGTCTAGTCATCTAATAGGCTATTCTTTATAACTGAACATAGCGTACTAATTCAGCGTTTATCTTTCGTCTTCTAACGAAGGGAAAATTGTACTATATGGAGGGAAAAAGGTGTACGTATGTACATTTTTTTACATATTTTCCGTCGATGCTGTTGTTTGAATAAAACAGTAATGTCATTTAGATCCAAGAGTACATACCTTTTGTTTCAAACAAAAATTTTATTTCAGACGAAGATATATGTTATTTCAAATTCAAACAAACGATTTGTTTGACCCGTTCCAGGTATCAACTTTGTTTGGATAAAATAAAATTTATCAACTTTAAAGAAATCGTTTTCTCCGTGTACGAATACCGGCCGAAATCTCCGAAGTTTGAGCCATAGACTTAAACGAATGGACTGCGCGCTCTCATGGGCCAACCGGCGCACACTGAGAGACCCATTTTGTTGAATGAAACAAAATTTAGTTGACTCAACTAAATTTCTTGTTTGGATGTGAGCAAACAAATCTTTCAGTGGATACAACAAATGAATTTAGTCGGAAAACCGCGAGTGAGAGAGAAACATCGTTACGATCGTAGAAGAGTGAGGTAGCCTATGTTTCTCTCTCACTCGCGGGAATTTGACGAACTCTTGTGGCCAGTCACTGATTACAGGGTCTCTAACTTACGCTATCGCTCTCTCTTTCTAATGTCGACGTCAGCTCCTCTCATGGAGCGCGGCAGTCTACTCTTTTGAGTCTACGATTTGAACGACGCGCTACGTGTCGCTGCAGCCGGTGGCGAAAATGATGTTGGAAAAATAACATTGGAAACGCGACGGCACATTCATTGAATAACACGGTGTGAATTAACTTGGTGAAAATAGAGATTCTTCCGTGCAATATTACACACTGTCGCGCTGTCAATACCGTTGTCGCCGTGCCAAGTGCAGTGAATCTACGAAGCCGGGCCAAGAAACTTCTCGCCGCGGACTTGAGACGGTAAAATTGAAAGTCGATAAGCGGACGGGTTAACGAGTGGGTTAACAGAGGGAAACGCTTCTCGTGTCGCTGACGTCACACGACGCCGTACGCACGACGCGCGATCCGTCAATTTTCTCGCCGGAGCCGCCGGCCGGCTCGAATTACGTGCCATCCCGCCGCCGTTCATTTTTGCACGCTC